GCAGAGCCAGAACTAGAATCAAGATCTTTTGGCTTCCTTCCTCAGCGTGCTGCCTTTGTGCTCCTTATAGTTCCTGGTTAGTGAGAACTAAGCCTTTTTGAGAATCACATTGTTACAAAAGTGCTGCTCTGATGAAACTTGAGAAATTTAAAACACAGTATTGTGAGAGCCTCCTGGTCTGGGTAGTGAGGTATATTTCTTCCATCCGGCTCTTTTTAGATTATTTAAACAAACTGTGTCATGCTTAGAGGACATTTACTAACATATTTTGTTTTAGTATCAGTGCATTTCCTTATGATTACACAATGTCATTCCAAGAGGAGTGAGAAATCAGACCAAGGCCAGCATGTTGCCTTTTCTGGTCTGAAGTTTCTGTACTAAGGGATGGATCTGGAGTTGAGGGGTGGCGCAGTGCAGTAGCTTTCTCCCCCTGCCAAGCTCATGATGGTGCAGCTTACAGTGGATGGTATCAAATGGAGGAAATAATAGTGTGTGAAGAATTTAATGCAGTGTCAAGTGCAAAACGTATTCAATAAGTAGCTGCTAGTATTTAACTTTTTTTATTTTATTGATTGGTTTTAGAGAGAAAGAAGCATCAATTTGTTGTTCCACTTATTTATGCATTCATTGGTTGATTCTTATATATGCTCTGACTGGGAATGAAATCCACAACCTGGGTATATCGGGATGACATTCTAACCAACTGAGCTACCTGGCCAGGGCCACTGGTATTATTTTTTAAAAATTGAATAGAATTATGGTTCTTATGTTAAGACCATTCCCTGGTGGGGAAGTGAGGTCTCTGCTGGAAGGTCTGTGTACAGACAGGACACCAGGAGGGAGCATGGTCTCCTTGACGCACCTAGATATTGAGAGTGGGGACAACAGTGAAATTAGTAGTTTGAAGTGTCCTGAAAATTAGAGCTTCTTGATTCATGTAACTAGCATAGATTTTTGTTGCTTTTTATCATCTCTTGTTGTTTGAGGACGTCTTACCTGAAGATCTTCAGCCTTGACTCAGCTGTGCTTCAGGGAGGCTGACTGTTCCCTCATTGGCCTCGGTGTTAAAGGGAGAGCCTGAGCAGGACGGGCGGTCCTCAGCCGGGCACCAGTGGGAAAGTGGACTTTACCGAAGGGATTAGGCCATAATGGTTTGTTGAACCACCCCTCCCTTTTTGGAACGTCTCCTCCCAGTGGCAGACTTGGAGGTGCCAAGTTGTACTTCATTAAACAAGGTAGCCTGTCTTTCCAGCACTTCTCTGCAAATGCATCTGAAATACCTGTACTCTAGTTTCAGCCTCTAATTTGAGTTGGAGGAAGAATGGAGCTACGGGTCTCAGGTAGATGGAACATAAGGTGGGCTCCTATTATACAAACTATCTTCTTACCTCCCCTCTTTATATATATATTTTTTTTCTTTATTGATTTTAGAGCGAGAGGAAAAGAGAGGGAGATAGAAACATCTATGAGAGAGAACATCGACTGGCCACCTCCTGCATGCCCCGCACTGGGGATCAGGCCCACAACCTGGGCATGTGCCCTGACTGGGGATTGAACTGATGATCTCTTTTAAATGCAGTTTTAAAATATATCTTGGGCCCTGACCAGTTTTGCTCAGTGGTTGGAGCAATGGCCTGTGGACTAGAGAGTCCCGGGTTCGGTTTCCGCTAGGGGCATGTACCAAAAAGAAAAAGATAAAGTATATCTTGGTACGGAGGCATCAACTCTAATTCTCTAACTTTTCAAACAGTTCTGTGTAGATGTGTGGGTGGGGAGTTAAGAAAACTATAAAGCAAACATGGTAGAGAACCAACATTTGGGGAATCTGAGTGAAGGGTTTGTGGAATTCCTTTTACTATTTTTGAATTTTTCTCTAAGTATGAAATTTCTTTAAAAAATATTAAATACATATTTTAGCATTTTTTTCCATGTAAGCACATATATTTACATAATTATTTTAAGTCCGCACAACATACTGCTGGATGTATTGCAAAGGTCTTTAGATGAACTCCTGTTGCTGATCATTGATCACTTCTGGTTATTTGCCATTATAAACAGTGCTGTGTAGAGATCTTTAAATATGATATATTCTCAGGTATTTGAAATGGCATCCCCAAACCCCTTCGAAATACTCCCACTTCCATAATGGAACTCATAGGAAGTTCACAGTAAATTAACCAATTAATGCTTGAATCTAAGAACTTATTTAGAATTTTTAATAGGTTATATGACTACTGTTCAGCATTATGTATCTCACCCTGATACTAATAAACAATAAGCTATAGAAAAATGTTTTCAGTCTTGGTTCATATCATGTAATAAAAATTTAGGAGAAAACGAATCCTTTAGTGACATGAAACATCTTGGCTACGTGTTGACCGCTTGAGTAATTATGAAGAGTAGAAAGTCTTTTAGTGTTCTGAAGTTGTAACATATTGACCTCATTCTGTTGGAAGCAGTGAGCAAATCTTTTTAGCCTTCATTCCAACATGGTTCACTTTTTCACTGATTGCCAGAATTTTTTTTAAATAAAATTTTTAAAAATTGATTTGAGAGAAAGACTTGTTCCACTTATTTATGAATTCATTGGTTAATTGTTGTATGCACCCTGACTGGGGATCAAACCCACAGCCTTGATTGTGAGATATTTTGATTGGATTCCCTTTCTCATTCCAGCAACAGATAGGACAGCGGTTCTCAACCTGTTGGTCGCAACCCCTTTGGGGGTCGAACCACCCTTTCACAGGCATCTCCTAAGACCATCGGAAAACACATATTTCTGATGGCAATTTATAGCAATAGCAAAATTATAGTTATAAAGTAGCAATGAAAATAATTTTATAGTTGGGGGTCACCACAACATGAGGACTGTATTAAAGGGTCGCGGCATTAGGAAGGTTGAGAACCACTGAGATAGGATGAGGGGCTGTTTGACCAGAGTCATTGCAGTAATATGCTCTGTTCTGTTGATTCACCTTCAACTTCTGATTATTATTTTTCCTAATGATGCATGTGAAAAATTTACCCTTAGGTCAAAACAGCATTGATTTCTCTAAAATATTTGACATTTTAGCAGAAATGACAAAATAGCATGACATTCCTGCTAAAATGTTTGGTTACTAATGTTTGGTTCAGTTTTTAGGTAGCCCTTAATGGTTTTGAAAACAAAAAGTCAGTAAGCAGGTCTAGTTGTTGACATGCAGAATGTCTGAAGACAGGTCAGGTAGGACCATCAGATAAAAGGAGTATCTGTGATTCTTTGGTTATACCTCCTAACTTTCAGGCCCTACCTCAAAAATAACAGACTGCAAACATTTCAGTAAAACTCGTACTCAGGCAGATGAAATCGCATTTGAACGTTGACATGCCCATTAGAATCAATTCCAGGACCGTGCGAATGTTGTATGTTCTTTTCATTCTTTTTCCTTCTTCCTTAGAATAAACTGGAAAGAGGGAAACAGATTTATAAACTCTAATTTAGGCACTAGCAGCCTGTGCTGTATTAAATTACACTAAAATTAGAAACCAGAGCCAGGAAAAGGGCCCTTTTCGTGTCCGCCAGCTGTGAGTCAGGTACCGCACCAACCTGACAGGAAGACCAGCGCTCTGCGAGGCCGCACAGCTAGAGGGGCGAGGGCTGGGTGGAACTTGCCCGAGGCACTTGGCTCCCGAATTGACACACATCAGACGTTTCTGTTCCTTTGAAAACCATGAAGTCATGGGCTTTGTTTCATGTCTCTAGTTAAGGAAGCTTTTTTTTTTTTTTATCCTCACCCGAGGATATTTTTCCATTTTTTGTACAGATAGAGTGGGAGGGAGAGAGAGAGAAACATCGACGTGAAAGGGACACATCGAGTGGCTGCCACCCGCACGACCAACCAGGGCCGGGGACAAACTGCAACCGAGATACGTGCCCTTAGCGGGAACCGAACCCGGGTCTCTCCGGACCCCAGGCCGACGCTCTAACCGCTGAGCCAAACCGGCCAGGGCAAGCTTTTTGTTTTTTAACTTTTAACTTTTCTATTTTCTCCGCACTTATAAAGACTATAAAATGATGTTTCCTAGACACTGTCTGTGTGGTGGTGCTAGCAGCCGCCGCCATCATTTGTTTCACTGGGGATAAGGAAGAGGTATAAATAGTGGAACTTTTCTCTAAAACACGAGGTAATCTCTCTCCTTAGGGTCTTTCTCTGGGGAAATATTGTGTATGTGTGTATATACATATTTGTGTGTATGTGTGTATATAATGTGCATATAAAAAATTAAAATGCTGAGTTGAATTAGGACTAGAGACATTTAGCTTTAAAATGAATTTTTGGCAGGTTAAAATATTGCCCCCCAAAATCTATTCTTAATTGGATGTCGGCCTCCTTACTGCATGGGCTTATGCTAAGGTGTTCAGATCGTCACCATCTTTGTGTTCATTTAACTTGGCTCGCTGGACAGATGTTGCTATGAAGGAGCAAACTGGGACCCTGCTTTTATCTCTCTCTGCCTCCACTTATGTTATATTTGTTATTCCCCTAGACTTAAGAATACACTAATTTTTTTCTTTTAAAAAAAAATGTTTTTATTGGTTTTTTAGAGTGAGAGGAAGGGATAGAGAAACATCAGTTGGCCGCCTCCTGCATGCCCCTTATTGGGAATCGAGCCCACAACCCAGGCATGTGCCCTGACTGGGAATCGAACCAAACCAAACCGGGACCTTTCAGTCCATGGGACGACACTTAATCCACTGAGCCACACTGTCCAGGCTATACTAATTTTCTTTACTACATACATTTTCATTGGAAACTTTTGACCTGGAGGTCATATAATTAGTCCCCCACAATTAAGTCAGGTTAATCTCTTTTGTCTTATTTCATCCAGAATGTCAGGTTCCTAATATTTAGCTATAGTTGATTCTACTTCTGAGAGAGTTGCTGTATTAATACTAGCATCTACTAATATTCTAGTTGTTTGTGTGTACTAATTTTCTCTTTCTCTCTTTACACTTTCAGCAGACCTACTCCAATGAAGTCCATTGTGTTGAAGAGATTCTGAAGGTGAGTTCATTGTTACTGTTTCTCACTTGAAGAAATGTTTAAGTGGGCAGGCATATATTCATTTACTTTGACTTGACATTAGTGAAATGTTGTCATTCCAAACCCCTTTAAACAGCCCCTACCCCCACCCCAAACACCTCCAAAAACAAAATTAATTGGAGCAGTAACAGAGGGAGTCTAAGAACATGACTGAACTCTGTGACAGATTTTATGAATAAAAATGAAATTTTCAAATGGCAAGGCATCTGGACCAGAGTTTTAAGACGTCTCTCTCCAGTTTTTCTGGTTGTCCCTGAACACCCAGGAGAGTGCCCACTTCCCGAGTGGAATTCCCTGCATCAGTTCAGTCAGGGAGGCACCAGCTGTTCAGTAGTGCTTAACTGACCCCTTCCTGGGTCGTAGGTGACACCTCATACTTGTAAACCTATCTTCATTGAGACCGTGAGTTTTTAAAGGGGTAAAAGAAAAACAAAGTAAATGGAATCTTTCTTTAGACCTATGAGGAAGGCTTATTAATTTAGTTACATCTCACCTGAGGATATTTTTTCCCATTGAAATTTTTTTTTAATAGAGAGAGAGGGAAAAGGGTTTGGGAGGAGAGAGATAAAAACATTGATATGAGAGAGACACATTGATTTGTTGCCTTCCGCACGCACCCTTACCTGGGCCAGGGATTGAACCTATAACCCAGGTATGTGCCCTCAATTAGGAATTGACCTTTGGTGCATGAGCTGGCTCTCTAGCCACTGAGTCACACTAGCCAGGGCTAGGATGGCTTATTTTAATTTTTGCTCTTGTTTATTGAGTGTGTCATGAACATTTGTGCTGCTTCTACAAATATATAATTTAATTCATTATCCATTTATTCAAGTTTTCTTTCACGAGGATGGCAGATTCTTTCTAAAATTTAGTTCCTGGGTGGGGAATTCCCCTCATGAATGAGCTTGCCCTTTTTTTTTGGTACATGCCCCTAGCGGGAACTGAACCCGCACTTGCTGGTCCGCAGGCTGACGCTCCAACCACTGAGCCAAACCAGCCAGGGCTGCTTTCTTTTTATCAGAAAAGAATTGTATGAACTGTTATGTTTCCCAGATTTCTAATTTCTGTTTTGGAAATAGGAGAGAAATATATCTGACACATGTACCTATTAATTTTTATCTCTACTGCTCACTCTTTTTCCTTAAAATATATGTTTACCTGAATTTTTCTTTAATTTTTAATTGTAAAGTATTAGGTGAGGTGGAGCTGAAACCAGTGTTAAGTTATATTATTTACCTTCTCACTTGTGAGATTTTAGTAAAAATCGTGTCTAACAGGATGTTTGGAAAATATTTTTTGTTTTACAGTCTTTTGTCCCCTACTTTTATAGGTAGGATTTTCTGATAAAGAAATAACCTCTAAGGAAACATACTTTGTCCTGTTAAAAAATGAGACATTTTTGTCAACCAGCAAGTAAGATTAAATAATAAACAAGTTGTCTGGGTCACATTTTGTTTCATGCTCTTCCTCTGGTATTTCTGAAATGCTTTGATATGGTGAGTCATAAAAACAACAAATGACTTAGTTAGAAAATAGGGCCTTAGCATTTTCTCTGAAGTTGTATATGATTTGTTCTATAGTTACTTCCACAGTAAATGCAACAATATGTATTGGTTGTCTCTGCACATGCCGGATGCTTCTCTCAGGTTTTGATATGTGTTATATATGACTATTAAATCCTTTATCTGGGATGATGGTATTAGAGCATCAAACAAGCTTGGGCGGGGGGCGTTAATCCTCACCTGAGGATATTTTTCCATTGGTTGTTAGAGAGAGTGGAAGTGAGAGAGAGACATTGGTTGGTTATCTCCCACACTCACATCCTGACCAGGGCCAGGGATAGAACCTGCAACCCAGTATATACTCTTGAATGGGAATTGAACCCATGATGCTTTGGTCTAAGGGCCAATACTCTAACTGCTGAGCCAAAGTGGCCAGGGCTGAGATGAGCATTTTTAATTTAATCAGCTCATCTGTCCTCCCTCTCCTCTCACCCAACATCACATTAATGAGTTCTTATTTGGAAATGCCTGAAAATAAATGGTTAATATAAGCAACAGGTAAGTATTTTTACTTACTTGGGAGTTATAAGCAGGGAGACCAAATAGAAGCATGCCCTGGCCTAAAGAGAGTATATAGGCTTTTGCATAGTGGAGACTTAAAGTCGGTCCCCTTCCTTTGTCCTCTGTTTGTGGCCTCAGTTAAGTTGTGTGTTCTCCCTGGGCTAGTAGATGATGTCCAGGATCCATTCCAGCGCTCACACTCTAATATCGATCCATGTACTCTCCTCTTCCTCATGGTTCCAGTTCTTACCTTGTACCAGCAATTTATGAAGATTGCCAGGAATCCTAACACAAATCTTTCTGATGGGTAATAGAGGCAGTAAATAGTCTCTAACAGAGAAAAATCAATCATGGAAAATACTGTTTGGTTCTCTAGGGGAAATATTAAGGGTGGAAGCATTTTAATGAAGGGGAAGTGGTAGCCTATAACTTCTGCAGGCTGATAGAGTAAGAAGATAACAGACAGACACTGCAAGAAACCAGGAATTGGTCATGTACAAGGGTCCAGACAGGGCAACGTGCCCTTAAGTGGGTTCGTGGAAATAGCTCTGGTTTTCTACTCACAGTGGCATGGCCTGTACAGCCTCTTGTGGGAGTGATGTAGTACTTGTAGGTGTTACGTTAGTGCCACATTCCAGTGACATTGGTACAATGAGTGCTAACACGTTTGTTTGTTCATTTATTCAACAAATACCCATTAAGCTTCAAATATTTTTCTAGGCACTGAGGATGCCTTATGATAAAAGTCCTTGCTCTCATGGAGATCATAGTGGGGAAGATGACTATATAATAAAATGCCAGATATTGATAAGTGGTATGAGTCATATAGCAGCCAAATGAACAGATGACTAGCAGATGAGAATGCAAAAGCCTTGAGATGGGAACAGGTTGATGTGTTACAGAACAGCAAGAACTAGACAGGGTGTCTAGAGCCAAATGAGCGAGGTGGAGTGTGGAGTGGAGGTGGCAGCTGTGCCACCCAGAGGGCCAGGACTGAGGCAGTGCCAACCCCCACTGATGTGATAAGTCATTGTTAAGGCTGGGAGCAAATTCATGACCTTGCGATTCTGAACAGCTTCCTCTCTTCGTGGACCCAGTTCTCTTAAGGCGTGCATCCCTCTCCTAAACTAGGCGTCAGGGAAGTCCATGGCTGCTCTCAGACCACCAGCAAACCTCTCGGGGCTGAAAGGGTTGATGCACATTCCAGCTGCCTGATCCAAGAGCCAGCACAGCCTTGGGCATTGAGAGTACAAAAGGATGTTTTCTGGGAATAATTGACTAAAAGTCATAGATTGGAATACTAAAGAAATTGGAATTTTAACAAATTCCAAAGAAATTCTTAGAAAATTTAAGGGTGGTGCTTTCGGACACGTTCTCGATTAATTATTATATGTTTTTACATTGTAGCATTGTAATGGTCCTGTAGCAGATAGTATAGCTCTCTTTGGTGTAGTATTGAAGTTCTTTAAAAGCTAGACTTTTAATTAAAAGTTGTAATGCTTTTGCCCTGGCTGGTTTGGCTCAACAGTTAGAACTACAGCCCATGGACCAAAGGGTCTCCCCTGGTCAAGGGCACATACCTGGGTTGTGGGTTTGATCCCTCGCCCCAGTCAGGGTCATGCAGGAGGCAACCAGTTGATGTGTCTTTCTCACATCAATGTTTCTCTCGCTCCCCCACCCCCCCCCTTCTGTTGAATCTAAAAAAAAAAAATCAATGGAAAGATGTCCTCAGGTAAGGATTAAAAAATAAGTAAAAATAAAATGTACCACAGCCTTTTTATAAAAAAAGTTGTAATGCTTTTAATTTTAAAAATGCTTTCTAGGTACCATGCATCCAAGCATTTTATGTAAATTACCCATAACACTTCGAAAAATAAGTGGTTTTGTCTACTTGTTAATGAGGGTAGGAGTTAGGACCCCAATCTGGGTCTCCGGCTCCAGAGCTCTTACTCCTGTCATTATGTTTTAGTGCAGAACTTCTCTTTGTCCTGAACCATGCCAAAGGCTAGACAAGGGGATGCTGTCACCTTTAATAAAAATTACTTAAAAGCCAGCATCAGTTACTTTGCTCGTTACTGTGCCAGGCCACTTATGTTGATACTGGGGCAGGAGCAAGCCAGAGAGTGGCTGTGGGGACAGGCCAGGGACGATGTGAACTGAGGTTGGGATTGGAAATAACCTGCTAGAGCTCCATGTCCAGTTGTCGTGAGGATCCGTGGACATTTCTGTGGTCATCGAGAGGCTGGTCAGCATGTGAAAAGAATGAAGTGTTATAATACACAATATGTTACTACACAGGGGAGGTAACGCGGCCTGTCGATCTTTAAGCCACTTTGCCAGGCAGGTCTGACACCTGTGTTGTCATGAGCAAGGGAACATCCCCTAAAGGAGTCACTCACATATGTTTGTATCTTTCCACAATCCAGGTTTGTTAGGGGAGACCTCCCCAATAAGCCAAGAATCACACACACACGTGGAAGTGAGCAGAGTGAGTGTCCAGTGCAAAGTCCCGTTCACTGGCCGAGTCGCAGGTGGAGAGGCAGGTGTCGGTCTCAAGCCAGGCACTAGAGTGGTGCATGTATCCGGTCAAGTGGGAGTCCAGCGAGGCTCTGTGTGTGACCCGTGGTGCAGCTGAGCTCGAGTACCGGGTGGTTGGAGCTCTGAGTTCTTATAGCCCCAATGGGCAGAGGTACCACTCATATCGATGTCCGGATTGAAGTCCTTATCCCAGTGTCCAGACTTGTAGTTTGGGGCGTTTCTGTACGCCCCATTACCTCAGTCTTGATGTAGCACTTGACGTAACTGTCATGGCTGACAGTGACCCCATCTTGGATTATCGAAAGTGTTCAAACAGTCTGCTTTGCTCTTGCTCTGAGCATGTGGGAAGGGATTTTTGTTTCTCTTAGACTGGTAAGGCAAGAGGCCCATACCCTGTGCTGTCAGCCACTGGCTTCCTGGGGCACACAGTCCAGTCATTTTGGATCTCAGTTTTCTCATCTGTAAAACAGAAAGGTTGGAGTCAATGATCTCTGGTGCTACGTCAGCTCTTTAACAAAGTCTGTATGTGCATATGTACATGTTAGTGATTGGACGCCTTTTATCTGGCATTGTTTTCCTATTATCATCATCATTATTATTATTTTTTAGCAAAGTGAAATATAATTTTTGAATGTGCTTTAGAAAAAAAGAATCCATGTCAAGGTACATATATTAATTTGTAAGATTTAGAAACCTTGCCTCTATGGAGAGTACATAGAAATTAAACTTCTGTTAATGGAAAGGGAAGGTGATTTTTTTTAAGGCTCTCTCCTCCCAACAGTTCTTATGTACTAATAGGTGTGTATCAGGGAAGGGTCAAACCTATTAAAACTCTCCCCAGAGGAACAAGTGACCTGAATTACTTGTTTGCTTAAGTCAAACAGGAAAGTTCTTCTTCCTTTGAACTTAAATAATTCCAGGAAATGCAATAAAGAAGCTAAGGGAGAAAGAAAGCATTGAGCAGAGACTCAGTTTTCACACTTATATAAGCTCTGGTAATACCTATTACCGTTTATATACTTTATAGTGTTCAGTGTTAAGACCATTTCTGTTTTATGCTCCTGTTTTTCTTCTTTGATCTGATTTTCCCCCTCAGTTTTCTAAGTTGGAGATCTTTAGGTTTTAAATTTAGCCCATTAAGTAGGAGTTTTTTTAAAAAGTAAGTGAAATAACTTTTAAGGTTTTGCTTTTTATTTGCCACTCTACATTGTTTAAAAAGTTAAGCCCAGCTGGTGTGGCTCAGTTGGTGAGCGTCGATCCATGCACTAAGAGGTCACCAGTTTGATTCCCGGTCAGGACATATGCCCCAGTCAATGTTCTCTCTCATCTCTCTCTCTCTCTCTCTCTCTCCGTCTCATTTTTTTTTTTTTTTTTTTTTTAAAGTTAACTTAAGCCCTGGCTGGTATTTGTTCAATTGTTAGCGTGTTGGTCCTCGCACCAAAGGGTTGTGGGTTCGATCCCCAGCCCTGGTTGGGGCATGCGGGAGGCAACCAGTCGATGTGTCTCTCTCATATTGATCTTTCTCTCTCTCTTTCTCTCCCTTTCTCCCTTCATTCCACTCTTTTAAAAATCTGTGGAAAAAATATCCTTGGGTGAGGATTAACAACAACAAAAAAGTTAACTTAAGTAGCAATAAATGTTCTACTTATAATTGACTTCTTCTTCCCTTCCCAAATCTCTTTTCAGGAAATGACCCATTCATGGCCTCCTCCTCTGACAGCAATACATACGCCTAGTACAGCCGAGCCTTCCAAGTTTCCTTTTCCCACAAAGGTAATTCCTTACAAGTGTAGCAGACGCTGCATCCACGGAGGAAAGTCTGAGGTATTGCTGGGAGCCAGATCAGTCCATTGTTACTTGAACTCTTTAGCGATTAGGTTAAAATTGCAATTAATTTGGCCCCTAAAGTGCTTCATAATGCTTTCAGACACTTTATTGTCCAAATTACGTTAGTAAGAACATCTTGTATTTGTATAGCGTTTTGTAGCTTATGAAAGTATTCAGGATTTTCCAATAAATTCTCTCTTTTGAGAGTTATTACCTAGAGATGGGAAAACAGAGGTACAGGAAAATTAAGTGAGGTGGGTTGTCTGATTCCTAGTTTAGAATTTAGATATATATGTATACATATATACTTGGATGCATACATCTTATACTACTTATAACTGCTAAATTTTCTTAAAATTAACACAATCAGCTACACTTGTGCTGGTTTTAATAACAAGCAAATCTGCTGACTTACATGTTTCTGTTTCAGTATTTTTGAGTAGTGTATTAAAAATAAAAACACTACCATTTTTCCTTGTTGGGGGTGGGTGGATTGTACTTTAGGATAGCCTTCAGAATGTAGAGATATCATCTTCAGATCTGCGTCTGTTTAGCCTGGTGTATGCATGTACAGGGTTAATATGTTATAGCTGTTCCTTTTGTATGGTATTATTGTCTTCAAAAGAGGTTATGTCTACCCAAATCAGTATTTGCCACATTTGATACTTTACATATTTTCTAATGATAGTTGTTTTTTTAAAACAGGATTCATTATTACTGGTTTTAAGGTAAAACATACATACTTTGTTTTTAAAAAAAAATCTGCCCAACACCAAGGAGCAATACACTCTAAGAAAGAAGGGAAGCAGTAAAACCTGCTTTATGTAGAAATCAGATTTATCAGCATTTACTAGGGTTAACAGTGATGCAGCCTTCGATTTATAAACTTTAATGACTGGAGATTTTTCTTTTTCTTCTAGGATTCTCAGCACATCAGTTCTGCAACCCAAAACCAAAGTAAGTAAATATGTGGAACTGATTATTGCACTGGAGAACAAAGCTTGGTTTTTACTATTTTAATGGTAAAAAAAGAAACATTAATGAAAACTGCCCAGCAGAGATGGGGGCTTCCTGTGTTGAAAGAATAGGAAAGCAGGGCAAATGTAAAGCTATTCTTTAGGTGGAATTTTAGACTGTTGCAAAGAGTTCAAGAAGCTGTCTTAGTAAAGTCCTTAACAAATGCAATGTGGTGTTTCCTGGCACGTGATCAATATCTTAAATGAGACTCTCAAGCATTATAATCCAGGAATTGTATACGAGGGTGGGTGAAAGTAGGTTTACAGTTGTGAGTGCCTTTCTTTTGAGTTATAAAGCTATTATAATAATCATAACCTACATGTTTTTCCCATACGAACAACTGTAAGCCTACTTTTGCTAACTCCTCTATAAGAATAGGCTGGGATATTGTGTGGGGTTCTTGTATTTTTTTTACACAAAAGTAATAAATTTTTGTAAAGAATACAGCACACAGCTTCTTTGGCCCCTTTGTATGTATGTGCCATATAATTCATTTTTTAACCCCTTTTATGGATTTTAAGTACTTGAAAATTCAGGGAGAAACAGAAGAAAGTTTAGCTGTATCCAGCTTTTGTCTTCATTAGTAACTCTGATAAATTATTTTTGTCCCAACTACATGCAAGGCATTTCATGTCTTATGACATTGACTAAGGTATTTGCAATAATTTAGTTCATTAATACTCTGTTAAGTGCCCAAGTTATGAAGTTTTAATATTCAAAAGATGGGGACCACGGTAGGTTTTGTGTGGTGTGTCGGGAGAGGGAGCTCAGGTAGATGTTCCATGGAGGTGACTCTTCACATTTCCCATCTCATTACATTTTTCCGCTTGATCATTCTATCATTCAAATTGGATATGAGGACAGTAACAAGATGAGAAAAGCAAGAAACAGAGCATCCTTCCACTAGAGCAGGGCTGGGCAAACTGCAGCCTGCAAACACAACCTGTTCTGCAACTAGTTTTTGTACAGAAGGTTTTATTAGGACACAGCCATGCCCATTTATTTACTAATAAGCCACAAGGTATAGCATGCAAAATGTAAAATATATGTCTGACCTTTATAGAAAAAGTTTGCTGCCCCTTGCTCTAGAGGTACTGAATAAGGTCTTACAAAGAACTCCTAACTAAATTTCCCTCAAATGCAGAGAAATAAGCCTTACCATCTTGCCATAGTGATGTGTAGTAGCAAGGTAAAAGGAACAGAAATCAATGGCTGCTCAGGGAGGTTGGGAAATCTTGCTTTCTCAGCAACTTGGCAACCTATGCAAAGGCAGCTGACAGGTGGAGTGGCGCGGGTCTGCAGGTGGGCCACCAGCTCAGCTGGGCACAGGATTGCCGGGTGCTCCTGTACTGTGCAGGTTCTGTGCCTTCTGCTGGGTCACTCACAGCTTGATGGCCAACTCCTGGTTTAGAAAGACCGTCTCATCCTTTAAACTGATTTACCCTTTAACAAGTATAGTTGAAGATGGACTGGTAAGTGCTTCCTTGTTTAGGTGCGGGTGGTGGCCCTCTCGGCCTGAGGAGTTGTGCGGCCGATTCCTTGTTTCTCTGAGGTGTTTTCAGCTGCCGGCAGGTCTCGGCTCACCCGCTGTTTGCCCTGGGGTCTTACATACTGCCACCACTTCCTCTGTTCCTGTTCTGTGGAACCTTGTTTACCTTTGTGAGAATGTGGCCTGTGTGGGCCTAGTTGGACCCTAAATGGGTCTAGTTGGATGTTGGAGGAAGAGGAAGTTGAGCTGATATGGATATAGCTCTCCGAAAGGTGGACCTTGACACATATTTCTCAAAGTATGCCCAGCAAGAGAGTTCAACCATCTTAGAAAGGGATCTTGTGGCTTGGGGGTGTGTAGAGTCCCGAGAATGAAGTGCAGGGATTTGGCTTGTGTGTCCCAGTGCTCACATCTGGTGTGTAGCAGGCCTGCCCGAGGGCACCAGAGCCCATGGAACGGGTGCCCACCAGGATGACTGGGAGTCCCTGAGCGTGTCAGGGGACACTGTAGCCCCTCTAGAGTGTAGTCCTGACCCTAACTTTCTAGCCAGAAGGGGAAGCAACTTAAAAATATCATGTGAGAGCTGCTGCCACCATGAGGATAAAGTGATCAATTGCAAATATTCAGGGGTCTCCACATGACATTTGTGAAAAGTACCCCTCACCCTTACCTAAAAGGTATCCATGTTTCCATTTCAGTCCGAGTTCTGTTTCAGGTCCCTGTTATGTCACGATCAGACAAAATCAGCAGCTTTTTAATTGGTTTGCTGCCTCCACACTTACCATTTCCTGGTGCCTCCTAGGTTACACCAGGCTGCACCTCCAGAATACTGTTTCTGAGGAATAGCTGCATTGAGTCTGCGTTTAGACCTTTGGTAGCATCTCATTGCCCAACAGATGAAGTCATAACATCCCACCCTGGCAGGCAGGGCCCTCCAAAACCTGACTTCCACCTTCACCACAGATTCTGTACCCCAGCCTTACCCTTTCCAAATCTGTCACTTTGACTCCTCCCACTTCTGTGCCTTCGTTCATACTGTTTCATCTGCCCGAAGGTCTTCCTCACCCTCATGCCAGAAGTCATTCTGTCAGACTCACCCGTCCTTTGTGACACAGGTCATTTTGTTCCTTCCTAATTTGCCACCTTTAATCATTACCACCAGAGGGACCGTTCTCTAGATTCCTGGGACAGCTGTGATTGATTTGTGTACTAATCGCAGACTGCTAGGGTTGTAGGTATTTGTGCCCTGGTTGATGTCCCTCAGTCAACTGTAAGCTCATTGAGGACAGGGTCAAATGCCTTGAACATCTTATCTACGAGTTAGTCTATAAATAGCTGCTGAATATAGAAATTGGGATGGGTGTTGAATAATGGAGGGACAGGTGGAAGGGAGAGTGTGTTTGGCCAAGGACAGAGGCTGCAAACAGGGTGCCAGCAAATCGCTGATAGATACATGCGGTCCTCCAGGTGGGGGTGAGAGCAGCCCTGTCCTGCTGCTTCCTCCCGAGCCCGCCTGCGGACATCGGGGAGAGCTCCGGTGCAGCGGGGAGCCCCGGAGTGCAAGCAGTGCTTTCCAGACTGTTTGCTCTGTTAGGGGTTCTAAATTCTGAGCAAGCCCTCTCTCTAGAAGTAATGTAAATAACGGCGAGATTATACCAAGTGCAGTGTTTAGCACTCTGGTCGACAGAATTGAAATACTGAGTGTTTAGGTGAAAAAGATGAGGGGAAGGGGACAGCAAAAAAGGGAGTTTATGACTAAAATTCTCATGAATATATGTCACTGTGCTGCTCTAATCATTTTTCCCTCCCCCACAGAACAATATGATACATCTTCAAAAACCCATCCTAATTCTCAGCAGGGAACATCGTAAGTAAAATGCTTTTGTTTATTAAAAGTTTATGATATGACATCGTAATTTCCCATGTAAACCTGTTGCTTTGTTGTTGTTGTTGTTGTTGTTGTTGTTGTTGTTTTGTCTTTCCTGCTTTCAAGTAATGACTTTCATAAAATACTGCTGTGTTGTAGAGGGAAGAAATGACCTACATTTATATTTGGATCGAGTTCTGTTGAAGTTCTGTTAGGCACCAAAGGAGTGTTTGCTAAGGGGTTTTCTCAAAAGAATGGCATTTGAGCCACTATTTACATGTTAACTGTGGAAAATAGAAGGTTTTAGATTTATAAATTTTAAGTAGCTTTGGCTTTGGGAAACATCTTGAGGGGTGTGCACAGTTTGAGATTTTCTGCCACCTTTTTGGCCTAGTTTTAAAGAATGAGCCCGTTGCCCAGCTGTTCTTTATTAAGGCCAAGTAAGTCTGGGTATATTTTGGGTTTTTGGCACAGTTTAAACTACATAACAAAGATTTTAAATCAGCATTTTGACCCAATTTGTCATTTCTTGATGGTATTGGACTATTCTCTCTTCTCACACACCTAGAAGGGGCTTTGGGGATAGGTGAGAAGGCCTTTCTCTCCTTCAGTGTCTGGTCAGTTACCCACATGGGGGAGCACCTCAGACGACCTCAGGGCCACTCCAGCTTTCTTCTGTTTTCTAGGCCTGACATTTGTTCCGTGTGCTTTGGAAGGGGGGTTGCTGTGGATTGACTGTTTTAAAAACTGTATAGTTGAGGTAAAGGGGTAGTTTTGTCTTCTTACCATGACTGAGTGTGGGGCCAACTTCAGTCACCTTACCCTAATGCCACCAGTTTCGCAGTGCAGTTTATTCTCATTTCTCCATAGCAAAACAAGAAAAAAAAGAACAATATAACGAATTTTTTTAAGTAAATTTATTATAATTTAAGGGATGGATTTTGTGTGTCTGTAATAAAAGTCTGTGTCATTTGTGGTCCTGGCAGATGGTGAGTTTTTGCTTGTTTTTATTGTCTTTAACCCAGAAAAAAATTTAACCGTATGTCAGTCATCCTCTCTCTGTTTTTTGCCTCCCCCTCCCCCTTTTTTTCTTTAATAAAAATTTCTGGCTACCAAATTTTGAAAGTCTAGAATCATCTGCTTAGATTAATTGCATTTAAAGAAGGTTTGTTAAGCCAGTTGATTGCTGATAGAGGATAGAAACCACAGCTCCGAGGACCTCAGTTGTAACAATTCTGTAAAAGCTCTAACTTCCCCGGGGTTTTACACCTGTGCTCTTCATAATGGTTGGTAGCAGAGCCCTTTAAACCATCAAGGCCCTGGCCAGTGTCTTTGGGGGCAGTGAGGGAACTGAGAGCTTGCCCGGCTTGCCGATGAGAATAGAAGGGAGGAGCTCTCCAAGGAGGCAGGTGGGTGGACAGCTGTCTCCCTGGGCCTGTGCGTAGAGGAAGAAGGGCAGTGAGGTCAGATCTAGGCCTAAGAAGCGGCTTCAGGTGCAGCAGGTCAGAGTGCACACCCCCACAAGTTTCCATCGCTTTCAGGCCGTTGGTTGGGACTTAGACCATTTTCTTTTAAGTCCTCATCCAAGGATTTTTTTTTTTTTTTTTTACAATTTTTATTTTCAGACAGAATGGGAGGTGGGGAGGGAGATAGAGAAAGAGAAACATCGATGTGAGAGAGACACATCGACTAGTTGCCACCCACACAACCCCAACCGGGGCCAGGGACAAACCGCCACGTAGTGCCCTTGGCTGAAGTCTAACCTGGGACTCTCTGGTCTGCAGGCCGACGCTCTAACCATTGACCCAAACCGGCCAGGGCAGGAGTAGACCATTTTCTATGACAATTTTGCTACTCAGAGAAATGGGTAGTTCTGATAGGTGAGTTAAACCATTGAAATCAGAGGTGCTTGGAAATTTCTAACAGGTATAGCATATATCTTGTGACATATGTAGTGTTTTCATTATAAAAACTATTAATTTGCTATATATAAAATTAACTAGAAAAGAATTTTGTTGTGAACCTAATCAGTGTAGGGAAGGGATGAAAGCAGGGCCCAGTGGAGGCGAAGAGAAAATGGAGCGTGGTCCAGGAGAGAAAGTGGTACTGAGCCTGGGTGGCCAAGGGAGCTGTGTGCTTGTGGTGGTGTTGGTCATGGAATGTACCTGTGGGTACACGAATCCCGTTTACGGAGACTGGGTGAAAGCAGCGTTCCCGTTCATGTGTGACGTGTTTCGGGTTTAGTGCAGTAGATCTCTGCGTGCTTGCCAGTTTGTCTGGTCTAGTGTCAGCTCTGGGGCTCTTGAGCGGCACGTGCCAGGAGATAGTCTAATGCACTTCGAATGTCAGGGAAAATGTTAACTATAGGGTCATTTGTACTTTTGTTTTAAAAATTAGTCTAAGTCATAATGCTTTTTCTTTCGGAACTATCAGTACTCGGGGATCCCTAGAAAGGTGCAATAGTGTGTATGGAGGAAAACAGAAGGACCTGGCTCTAGAGAATAAGGTATGGGGAGTCTGTTAATTCTGTCTGTCCGTACTTTGGAGGAGCAGGTTATTAGCCGGGTGATGGAAGGATGTAGTTGTGAAAAAAACATGTGCCATGTGCAGAACCCATTACTTTTACTTTCCAAACTTAAAGCACTAGTTAGTTCTCAAGTGATGAATTCCTTCTGCCAGGCTCCGCAGGGAAGTGATTAACTAGGGTGTCCGTGCTATTTACCCTGAGTTTAGGGGAGGGGATGTTGCTTTAAGGGCTCCTGGCTTTGGAATCCTCATCTTTTCCAAGGCTTTGATCTGTGGCGTTCTCAGGGCAAAGTACACAGTCGTCCTTTTTTATATAGTTATTATGTCCTTTGTGTAATTATGGACAGTTCCCTTTCTGTGAAGCCAGATACAGTTTACGGGTATGAATTCTTTCATCAGCCTCTCAAAGGGGATCATCTGTTCATGTTTAAGAAACTATGAAATGGTTATCTGGCCAGTGTGGCTCAGTGGTTGAGCGTCAACCCGTGTACAGAGAGGTCACCGGTTCCATTCCCGGTGGGGCACATGCCCAGATTGTGGGCCAAATCCCCAGTGGGGGGCATGCAGGAGGCGGCCTGTCGTTCTCTCTCATTGATGTTTCTATCTCTCTCCCCCTCCCTCTTTCTTTTCCTCTCTCTCTAAAATCAATAAAGAAAAGTAAATTTAAAAAAAATTAAAATGGCCAATAGGTATTATTGTGGCTTTCTTCTTCCTTCCCACCCTTACCCTGAAATTGCCAAGTCCTTACTAGAAACTACCCTCCTTTATTTTTCTTGTATCTGTCTCAGAAATTACCAGTACTTATTTAGACTAAGAGGCAGAAATTATCCATTATAAGCAATTTTCAGTTTTTATTTACATACATGAAAAGTTTCTTTTGAGCCCTGGTCGGTTTGGCTCAGCGGTTAGAGCGTTGGCCTGCGGTCCAGAGAGACCCGGGTTCGGTTCCCGCTGGGGGCACGTACCTCAGTTGCAGTTTGTCCCCGACCCTGGTTGGGTCATGCAGGTGGCAGCCACTCGATGCGTCCCTTTCATATTGATGTTTCTCTCTCCCTCCCACTCTATCTGAACAAAAAATGGAACAATGTCCTCTGGTGAGGATTAAAAAAAAGGAAGAAAAATTTCTTTTGAAATGAGGGAAATATCAGGACATAAGGGCCGGGATTGGGATCATCTCAAAAGTTTGATGAGAATAAATGGTACAAAGTTAATAAAGGATGGGAAGAGTCTGATACCTTTTTAAATGAGCCTGAGTTTTCAACTTGTACGCAGAACATTGGTTTTTAAACTGAATCTTAGCAAAGGACTAAGGAAGCCCCATTCTTTCCACTGACTGTGATAAAAAGTCATTACATCAGCACACATGCCACCTGAGATGTCCTAGAAATAAGTCTGAAGAAATGGATTCCTTGGACCAGTTCATTTAAATTACATTCAGCCTAAAGAAATTATTCATAATTCTTTTTAACATAGTTGTTTTTGTCTTATCTTTAAATGTTAGCTTATGTTATATGAAAGCGTTTTGCCTGGGTTCTTTATTTTAATGACAGCTCTCACTGAGAGTGCTGCTTACTGATAAATATTATGAAAGAACTGGTAGAAATCGCCCAAATGTGCAAAGCTTATGAATTATGTGTCACTGAGATCATGCTCCTGTTAAGGAGCGAACATTCATGCTGATCAGTTACACATTGGTAGGTCAGCATCCAACCTTCAGCATCACGGAATGTAAGTGGAGATCCTGTTCTTGATAATTCTCAGCATTCAATACCAGGCGTCGCTGGGAAAAGATATTCCTTGTTTTCACTCCCAACTTATCTAATCAAGTGATTGAGGATCCAGGGTCATTGGTGTTCATAACTATGTTAGTAACCTAGATATATTAGGAAGTGATTTTTTTGTGTGTGTTTTCAGGAGAAAAGGGAGAGGTGTAAAATGAAAGAGAATAAAGCAGATAGCTTTTTTTAAGTGAGTGAATGTTAGCCATGCTATCGATAAATGAAAATTTATAAGATTGAGTATTGAATATTTCTGTTCTTAAAGCAAACAAAAAGAATAATTCTGTGCAATGTTTTTTGTTTTTTAATCTGCCTATTTCAGAATTATAGTCACTAGGGCACATTAAACCAATATTTAGAAAATACTGCAACTCTCAAATGTAGAATCACTTCTTTTCCCCACCTGTACTGTGCTGTGACTAGCTCATGAACTATAGTCCCTTGGAATAGTCAGTTTAACTCTTGGACTTTCAACTTTACTAGACAATATTCTAGGATCTCTTGCAGGGCATTGTTAGGCTTCATTGTATATAAGTTCTTGCTCGAAACTTGAGTAATGTTGAAGGGATATTCTGACGAGGCTTCAAAATGAAGCATATGTTACATTATAAAAATGCTGCTAAGGAGCTGGATGGATCGTCCTCTTCAGAGTACTCACCTTGGAGCTGTACTTTCTCACATGATGCAGCGGTGGTG